CTCTAACCCCTAGTAGCCACAATGAATAAGCCCCACAAGCTCTAACCCCCTAGTAGCCATAATGAGCAAGCCCACAAGCTCTAACCCCTAGTAGCCACAATGAGTAAGCCCACAAGCTCTAACCCCTAGTAGCCACAATGAGTAAGCCCACAAGCTCTAACCCCTAGTAGCCACAATGAGTAAGCCCACAAGCTCTAACCCCTAGTAGCCACAAGGAGTAAGCCCACAAGCTCTAACCCCTAGTAGCCACAATGAGTAAGCCCACAAGCTCTAACCCCCTAGTAGCCACAATGAGTCAGCCCACAAGCTCTAACCCCTAGTAGCCACAATGAGTAAGCCCACAAGCTCTAACCCCTAGTAGCCAGAATGAGTAAGCCCACAAGCTCTAACCCCTAGTAGCCACAATGAGTAAGCCCACAAGCTCTAACCCCCTAGTAGCCACAATGAGTAAGCCCACAAGCTCTAGCCCCTAGTAGCCACAATGAGTAAGCCCACAAGCTCTACCCCTAGTAGCCACAATGAGTAAGCCCACAAGCTCTAACCCCTAGTAGCCACAATGAGTAAGCCCACAAGCTGACCCCTAGTAGCCACAATGAGTAAGCCCACAAGCTAACCCCATAGTAGCCACAATTAGTAAGCCCACAAGCTCTAACCCCTAGTAGCCACGATGAGTAAGCCCACAAGCTCTAACCCTAGTAGCCACAGTGAGTAAGCCCACAAGCTCTAACCCCTAGTAGCCACAATGAGTCAGCCCACAAGCTCTAACCCCTAGTAGCCACAATGAGTAAGCCCACAAGCTCCAACCCCTAGTAGCCACAATGAGTAAGCCCACAAGCTCTAACCCCTAGTAGCCACAATGAGTAAGCCCACAAGCTCTAACCCCTAGTAACCACAATGAGTAAGCCCACAAGCTCTAACCCCTAGTATCCACAATGAGTAAGCCCACAAGCTCTAACCCCTAGTATCCACAATGAGTAAGCCCACAAGCTCTAACCCCTAGTAACCACAATGAGTAAGCCCACAAGCTCTAACCCCTAGTATCCACAATGAGTAAGCCCACAAGCTCTAACCCCTAGTAGCCACAATGAGTAACAAACAAAACGTCGCCTGAGAGCTTCTTTGAAAAGGGGGAAAGACCCAATGATGAAGTCCCCCCCCACCCCGGTCCGTGAAAAAAAAAATTGTCTTCCACGAAACCGGTCCCTGGTGCCAAAAAGTTTGGGGACCGCTGCGCTAAGGAGCACGACGCTTACGTATAAATGAAGAAGTTGGTGGGCTATAGTGGAACTGCAAGTTACCGATTGTTACAGTTGTGAAGTAATATATTTTATTAAATTGTGTTACCCATTCAGGGTGCAAAATATCCCCGATTGTCAGCGTCTTCTCTTACCGTTTAAATATTAGCAGCATCAAAGCGACGTTACACATACATATCACGGAAGAAGTTTACTTTGCTATGACCTGTAAATCAAGTTATTTTTCTGAAGGCCTAAATATGTGTATGTGAGTGCGAGGCAAATATCCTGCTCCACTTAGGGGCCGTCCATAAATGACGTCACGCACCTAGGGGGGGGGGAGGGGGTCAGACATTTGTGACGATGTGTGACGAGGAGGGGTGGGGGGTTGAGAAATGTGACGTCACATAAAAATGCGCAACTTTAAATAAATATAGACAACGCGTTCTACTTAATTAAATATACTTTTTAATAAATGTTTTCTCCTACAACATCAGAGTGCAGCGCCACCTTAAATACTCACTACAATGACAATAGTTTAAAGCGATTTAAAGCACCATCTGCCAACTGTTGTTACTGATGCACACTGGGGTAAGGGGCCGTCCATAAATGACGTCACGCAATTTTGGACGATTTTTGACCCCCCCCCCCCCCACTTTTTGTGACGCCGTCACACGGCGTCACAAAAAGTCAGACCCCCTCTCAAATATGACGTCACAAAGCTCTGTCCCCCCCCCCCTCCACAAAATAAATAAAACATGCCTCAAATCGCTTTAAACTATTGTCATTATATTCTTGGTTCTTTCGGTAAAGTCACGTAGAAGGGAAACAATAAAATATTCTGTTTCATATTTTTATTATTTTATTGTTTCCCTTCTACAAGAATATGAATCCCTGCAATCACGAAAGCTTTAAATCACTATTGTCATTGTAGTGCGTATTTAATGTGGCGCTGCACTCTGATGTTGTAGGATAAAACATTTATTAAAAAGTCTATTTAATTAAGCAGAACGTGTTGTCTATATTTATTTAAAGATGCGCATTTTGGTGTGACGTCACATTTCTCAAACTCCCCCCCCCCCCATCCCCCCCCACCTCGTCACACATCGTCACAAATGTTCGAGTGAAGAGCACTGCCATCTGTCTCGAAAGTCTTCGCACAAACTTCGACGTTAAAATTTGAGTCCGATGCCAAGAGGCGCTGCGTCTCCCCGTCTAAAGTCAGCACAGTCGACTTGGCAGAGGCAGGCGAGAAGTCGCACGTCATCACGGCGTCACCGCTGTTGCCAGGCAACCGTTTCGTTATGCACCACGTGACCCGGTCAATGCGTGTGACGTCACAAGCACTGTTTTGGTCAGGGGCGCGGAGCCTCGCAAGTGGGGTTATTATTTATTTATTTAACCTCACAAAACATTTATTTAACCTCACAAACAAAAGCAAGCAAACTTGTTGAATTCATTCGCCTTCCTTTTAAGGCCACTTCGGGGTCGTCCATAAATGACGTCACGCACCTGGGGGGGGGGGGGTCAGACATTTGTGACGATGTGTGACGAGGGGGGGGGGTGAGAAATGTGACGTCAAAATCAAAATGCGCAACTTTAAATAGAGACAAGACGATCTACTTAATTAAATATACTTCTTAATGTTTTATCCGACATCAGTGCAGCGCCACATTAAATACGTACTACAATGACAATAGTTTAAAGCGATTTGAAGCATGTTTTATTTGGGGGGGGGGCAGAGCTTTGTGACGTCATATTTGAGGGGGGGGTCTGACTTTTTGTGACGCGTGTGACGAGGTGGGGGGAGGGGTCAAAAATCGTCCAAAATCGCGTGACGTCATTTATGGACGGCCCCTTAAGAGACATCTTCCCTCTTGTTTCAGTTCCTTAATCATAAGACACTACTCAATATAAGTTCTCCGGTAATGCAAAAACATCCTTCCCCATACGTCCAGATTTTTGCACCCCCCCCCCTAGGTGCTGTCCCTAATGTTTACGATTTTCACCATAACTAAATCTAACACGACCTATACCAATCTTGATTTGAAGCTTTCGTGGCTGCAGGAATCCATACTCTTTGGTTCTTTCACGTAGAAGGGAAACAATAAAATACTAAAAATATAAAACAATAAAATTCTCACGACGTTTCGACCGCAACACAAGCAATCATCAAATTTTCTTGCTGTGGTTTTCACACCTGATGATGACTGCTTGTGTTGCAGCCGAAACGTCGTGAGAATTTTGTTTTATATTTTTATTATTTTATTGTTTCTCTTCTACGTGACTTTACCGAAAGAACCAAGAATATGAATCCCTGCAGTCACGAAAGATTTAAATAAATAAATCACGCCGTTTCGATCGAAGTGCTGAACCAGTTCCACTGCTGGATATTTTTTTTCCCGCCCGAGGACAAGCCGCTTGTGTTGCCAGCGAAACGTCGTGATATATTTTTTATCTATCTACCTTCCGTGACTTTACCGAAAGAACCAATGAGTACTACCTATACCAGTTCAATCAACTTCCTATGACATTTTTTTTTATCTTGCAAAAGCCCATTGCAATTGTATTTCTAATTCAAAGCAGGCTCAATTCCTGCTTTCAGCTGCCCAGATCTGACATCGCAGGTGACTGGATCCACAGGCTTCAACAACATATATATAAACCACAGAGCGTCGTGAACATTGTTTGTGACTTTTATTTACAGATGAAAATATCAGAATGACACCACTATAAGACAAAACCTGGTATAGCCCACTGTCTGAACAGCAGCACTATGCAGCAGGTGACCTTGAACAGATGGCCATCTCAAGGGCAGCAGAAGGAACGGGGGTAGAACAACCATCGGTGATGACACAGCTCTATGCATTGATGATTACGAGAACATTCACACTAAGCTAGGTTTAAAACTAAACTGGGCATCCGATAATAAAAACTGTTGGTCTAATATAGACAAAGCCAAAGTTCCTATGGAGTTAAGCAGCCTATGAAAAGTTTGTGTTTTAATGAGACGTTCATAAATATAACCATCCCTGGCAAAGACCAATTGCATCCTGTCAACATAAATATAAGTCTAACAATAATGGATCCAGACTTTGAAATCATTGCTTGAGAGCTGAAACAATTAAAATATCTGTATAAGACCCATAGTTCCATTTGTATAAGAAAAGGTTCAGTATTTACTACAATTTTTTTCCCCTCTCAAATACTGCGCTCAAGAATAGTTCTTAAAACGATCATAGAATGACTCCAAATTATGCATTCCCCACAAATGTGAAACACTTTTACAAGCATGACGGTTGTGTTCCATCCTTCACCACAAGAATTCGCACTTTGCCTTCTTCGTCCAGTTCACTTGAAAGAAAAACACAGGAAAAATAAATTTTAGTGACGTACATGACGATTACATTTAAAACAAGCAGTAGCTCTGCATCATTAGACCTCCTTTGCCAGTACCAAAATATAATAATAGGGTTTTTCCCCTTTTTTCTGGCAACAAAACTGAAACCTTTTTTTACAAGGATTCACGTCTGCAATAACCACAATACCTGCAGTCAAAATGCAAACAAAAAAACAAACAATGATAATATATGCATTGTCCTGGTGCTCAACCAGCTGTACGCCTTTTGGCGTCATCTGGTCGAGCACCAATTGGGTCGAGGCTCAAAAGAAAGCCGTCCCTTGGCGTGGACCAATCAGTTTCAAGGACAGTGCATATATTATCATAGCATATTTTTTGTTTGAATTTTGACTGCAGGTATTGTGGTTAATGCAGCCATGAATCCTTGTAAAAAAAGGTTTCAGTTTTGTTGCCAGAAAAAAGGGGATAAACCCTATTATTAAGCAGTAGCTCCATCACCAAACGCCAACACTCCCAATGTGTCCGTGTTCAATCAAGCATTGGGCCAGTACTCATCTATATTAATCCAGTGGTGCACATTCCACATTCCCATGGCAAGTACCAATTTTGAAGTAGGCCGCCAACAGAACCACGGTACAATCATGCGTCGAAAGTAGATTTCGCTTTGCTCCTGATTTCAGGACAACTTTGCGATCGTCATTGTCCCACAAGGTGAAGTGTCCATTCGGAGCTCACAGCACCGGATTGTATCCACGTGTCAGGAGAATGGCGCACAAGACACACCACAAAAGTATTTCGGAGATCCCTTTAAGCGACACGCACGGGGACTCACTTTCCCATTCCCTCCCGCTGGAGATATTTCCCACGAGGCGGTCAAACTAATTATTCTTTCAATTCATTCCGAGACCTCGAATTTTTTTTTTTAACCAAATTAATTTAAACAAATTTTTAATATTCTCTTGGTGCAGTCACACTGATGCCTGGGATAAGACGATCAGTTCGCTACACTGGACAAAACCTGCTGTAATCATGGGTGGCTTCATAGCCGAGCGGTGCTGGGCTCGTTGCTTTTGACGCATAAGCCACTCACAGAGCCACCCACCTCGTCATTGTTGCACACCAATTTACATCTGGCCAGCGACAATTAAACAAAACGCGCCGCATTCTTTCCCGTGAAAATCTGAACGCACATTGGGCATGGAGCAAAAACGAAGATGGCACCCTTTCAAAGCAACATCAGAACACACACAATTGCTCCGAATACACACGATTACTAATAATACACACGATAAGCACGGTTGGCTACGTACGGTGCGGAAGAAGTTCAACATACGTACAATACTGCTACAACTAAAAACATCTTTGTTTACTCAAGAATTCCCTCATCGAGTCAAGATTCTTTTCAGGAGGGTCCCACTCGTGACGCTTGGTCTTCTTTATTTCGTTTTTATTGTGTGTAGAAAAGTGAAATGCCTGGAGAAAACCCACATGCCAGGGAACACGCAGACACCACACTGGCAGGTTCACGTCCTACTTGCTGTACTGTCTCATTGTCCAGCAGATGGGTTTCTCGCATGTTAGGAACTCCGTGTTTCAACAACCCACTGAACCTGCTATACCATGCGTTTAGGAGTATTCGGCTGCTGTAAATGTTCACACACGCCACTTCATTGGGCGATCATTTTCGGTCAGGTCGCTTCCATAAAATAGCTACGTAAGCTCAGTGGGCCTTATCTGGGGTAAAATAAAAATCGTTCGTGTTGGTTATGCTCCACTATTTGGATGCGTACTTATGTAATCGTCCACATTACAAGACGCACGCCCATGCTATCAGGGTCAAAATCATGGGTTATAATCCATTGGCATCTCTCGCAAAACAGTGTAACGCTTTGTTAGAATGTGGCCCGCGGATGCGGACATCACAGAACTACTGCTGAGATTCCTCAAAGTTGCCACCGATCCACAGTGCCGCACCTTCCAACCTGACTCGCCACTAAGTGGAATGATTGTCGTACGAGTCAAATTAATATTTTTATTTTCAAGGACCTGGAATTTAGCAGCATTTAATGTAGCATCAAATGTAATGTAAGAAAAGGTTTCACCCTTTCTGGCAATAAAAGAGATGTTAAGATGTTAAAACATCAAACTGAAACCTTTTGCAAGGAATCTATTCTTAAATTTTGATACTGGCAAGTGAGGGGTCCCATGATGTAGCTGCTCAAATGTAAAAAATGCTTTGACTTATTAAATACTTTAAAAAGCTCTCCCTAATGCGTACGACCACCTGCCTTCTATGTTCCTCTGTACCATAGGCAGCCATCGCTTTCACAACATTCAAGTGCCTGTTGAGAGAAGAGAGAGGGGGGTCATTATAAAAAAAAATCATTGTTGGCGTCTCTATGGATTCTTTTTTTCCCCTCTCGTTACCATTGCCATGCACTTCACTCGGCGATGTTAACGCGAGGCCAGAGTAGACAACAGCTCTGCGCATGCCATTCACCGGGCAACACGATGCGAGGCATGATTAGAAGACACTCCAGATTATAAGACGCACGCACAGCCCATGCTATCAGTGTCACACCTGTAATCCAATGCTTTGTGGATATGCTTTGCGAGACTGAAAAACACCTGTTGGGCTGCAAGGTGGCCAGACAACTACAGTACAGCAAGCAGGTTTCTGACGTGTCTACGTTCAGTGGCCTAAAATATGGCTCTAGGGTTTGGTGTTATAATTTATTTAGATAGTTTTTTGTTAAAACTTCGGTCACAGTCCCTATGATCACTGTTACATTGCATTTATGGCTTTAATTTTGGTGATTTCGAAAACTTTTTTTGGTTTGGCCATGTTTTTGTTTATTGTAGTACGGAGTTAGACTGATGGCCTTAATCTAAGTTGTCTTGTGGTTGTTGTTGTTTGACTTGCATCCCACTGGGATTTTTGCACACAGCGTTGGTGTACGGTGCTATTTCAGGAATATTTTGATGTTTTTTTTCCTGGATTTTCTGTTTGCACAGTCACATAATCACTTTAAGATGTTTTCTTGTGCGTGTTTTTGTTTGTTGCGGTTGCACCCGATTCAAGAGCCGAATGGCTCACAGGGCTATACCAAATAAATGGAACTACTGGAACTACGTAGATCACCAAAGTTTGTCCCTTTGTACAGGGTGGGTTTTCTCCAGGTACTCCGGTTTCCCCCAAAAGTGCAAACGTGTTCATTTTTAAACAGTTACCAAGCCAAACAATATCAAATTACAACAACCCCTCCCTCTTCAACAGGAGCCTTGAGACTCGGTGAAAAGTTCCCGGATAAACTAAGAATAATTCTCAATGCAAAAAAAAAAAGCACACACACCATTCGGGAACAACAATTGTCACTGCTGTGGTTCCCAACCTTTTTCAACACGAGTTGTAAAACCAAATTGGTGACCCGGCCGATACATTAACTCGCACCACACACTTCAAAGAGCTCCGTTTGATCACAGGCGGCTGCCTGGTTTGGAGCCCATGATCCCAGTGGGGCCAAACCCAGTGCTCTGACCTCTGAGCTACCTGGTTTGTTTCCAGATTGAAAGGGAGACAGATTAGATTGGACTCCCTAAAGCAGTGGTTCTTAACCTTTACTGCAGACTTGCGCCCTCCTTTGGATCTCAATCGTAAAAAAAAAAAGTATGTTAATAAATACATAGGTTTGATGAAACAAAGTAGTTGCACTGACGTGCCAGTGCTTAATTTGTGTTTCGATGATTTACCTTCTAAAAAAACAAAAAATCTGTCCGTGGCTCGCACCCCCAGAAAGGGCACCCCCGAGTTAAGAACCACCGTCCCCTCAAGCAACACCACACTCATCTCCACCAGCGGAGCATTCTCCACCGGTAGACATTCCCAATTCCCATGGCGGTAGCAGTTAGTCTCTACGCTGGACATCGAGCGGTACCGCTGCACCCCCCCCCCCCCGCCCCCCCCGCTCACTTTCGCTAAATTCCGACGGCAGAGGGGGGGGCAAGCCGTCCCAAACGGTAGTCGGCAAGAGACTCGTCCGCGAAGCAAACAGCATTAACACATTTTGATTTAAAGCTTTCGTGACTGCAGTAATTCATATTCTTAGTTCTTTCGGTAAAGTCACGTTGAAGGGAAACAATAAAATAATGAAATATATATAAAACAATAAAAAATATTGTTTTATAAAAAATGTTGTTTTATATATATTTTATTATTTTATTGTTTCCCTTCAACATGACTTTACCGAAAGAACTAAGAATAAGCATTAACACAACTGACGTGAATTTCGATTTAAAGCTTTCGTGACTGCAAGGATTCATCTTCTTTGGTTCTTTCGGTAAAGTCACCACCACGTAGAATGAGAATAAACTAATAATTTGATGAAATAAAATAACACAATAAAATTCTCACGACGTTTCGGCCACAACACAAGCGGCCTTCATCAGGTGAAGGGGACGAGACTGTCTGATGAAGGCCGCTTGTGTTGTGGCCCGAAACGTCGTGAGAATTTTATTGAGTTATTTTATTTTATCAATTTATTATTTTATTCTCATTCTACGTGGTGACTTTACCGAAAGAACCAAAGAAGACAACTGACGTGCTTGCGTCCGTGGATGGAATTCCTTTCCAGCTCAGACCCCGCTTGCTTGCCCATCACCACGTATATAACCTCCTTGCTGTAACGGCTCTCTCGCCGGTTCAGCGGTTCCACTGCTGGATTATTTTTTTCCGCCCGAGGACGACCGCTTGCGTTGCGATCGAAACGTCGTGGAAAATTATTTTTTGGTTTTATTTTTCTACCCACGTGACTTTACTGAAAGAACCAAAGAGCATGGATTCCTGCCAGTGGCGAAAGCTTCAAATCAAGATCAGACGACAATTGCGTAATGCCGATCTTAAGCTCACATTGACGATCACGTGGCGGTTTGCTTCATGGTGAACGTTACGTTCACGTGTCTACCCCTATAGACGTGATCCACTATCCTCAAAACGCTTTGCTATGGCGGGGGGAAAAGTCTTCCCATAAGACAAGCGCTGCTGACTTTCCAACAAAGCGGTTCGTATTTTATCAGCCCTAGCCAAAGGCATGATGGGCTGAGCCAATGCTCCACCAGGATTTGAACTCGCCACATTCCGCTCGCTCTACCGCTGAGACTAAACTATTCGCTATTTTTATTTTACCAGGTAAGGCCCACTGAGCGACCTGGCCACAAATGATAGCTCAACGAAGTGGCTTATCGCGTGTACACAACATGCATCCAAATTATATATATAGTTTTCCTGTTAGATTTACAACTCGTATATCTAATATAATATCATAATTGCCGGGTTGCACTTCAAACTTTTGTTTTTACTTTTGGGGTGAGATGCAGCTGCATTTAGACGTGACGTACAAATAATAATTGTATATTATATACATGGGGGGCGATCCATTTATAGACACCTCGCTAAAATAAAAAGGGAGAAATTCGAGAGAGAGAGGAAAAAAAACCCATCTTGTCACAAAGCCTGTACCATGTCCCCCACCAATCTCAATACACTCATTAAATACTTTAACACTGTCCTGACGCAGCACACGACCGCCTGTCTTCTATGTGACCACTGTAACCTTTGCAGCCATCGCTTCGACAATATTCTCATTATAAATCACTGCGGCGTCTCTACCGTTTGCCGTTCCCATGAACTTCACTCGGCGATTCCTTGGGGGCATTGCCGACGATGACTCTGTCCATCTGCCCGACTGTTTCGTCTCTACCTTTATTTTTATTTTCTTTCGTCTTTATGTATGTTTGACAACAAAACTAAACCACCCCCCTCCACCCCCGGACCCCTGAACAACCTAAAGTTGGGAACCACCGCATCTATATTATTATTATTCAGCATTTACAAACGTCGTGGGTATCCCCAACAATTCCTTTGAGGAGGTGGTTCTGATACGAGCAGGGTCCATCTGCATGCAACGATAGTAGGAGGCGGGAGGGGGGGGGAGGGAGGGAACCTACATCCCTTTGGGAAAAGCCGTCTAGCTAGAAGACACAAGCAGGTTAAGTACAGGTGGTGGGAGTGGAAAAACGCTAACTACAGGCGGCAAGCAGATATACTCCAGTGGCCGAGAGGGCCATGGACCAAATGCTGAAACCACAACTTACTTTACTCTGATTATAAGCGACCACTCTGCGCAACAGAGGAGAGCAAATCCACTGCTTTCCATGAGAAAACTGTCAAGCGGACGGGCGTCACATTCAATTACGGATGCATGGCTGTGCTTGTGCCGGTTATATCAGCAAATTAAACGGCAGCATATCATAACGAAACACACAGTCAGTACGCTTGTTAAATCAATAGCCAAAGTGTGTCGGCGCAGCGGTGTTAATGTTCTGCCCCGAGCCAGTGGTGGAAATTCCACATTCCTTCGGTAGGGATCATTGATTCTATAGGCCAGCTGCAGTTAAATTACATAGTAATGTTTAATGGATCGACCATTGGCTCCTTGCAGATCAATGTTACTCAGCAAACATGTTTAAGACAAACCATACCAGCGAGTGGGCTGCAAAAAATGTCTTGCCATAGTACTCCCACCTGATGATGATTGCTTGTGTTACAATCTAAATGTCGTGATTTATTTTATTTTCTACCTACGTGACTTCACCGAAAGAACCAAAGAGGATGGATTCCCGCAGTCACGAAAGCTTCAAATCAAGATGGAGCGATTGTTTGTTGACAACCATTTGTCAAATCTACTGTTGGATGAACGCCTCCCCAGGCTGTGACAGTCACTCGCCACACTGATGTTTGGCCGTGGCCGAGAATCGAAAACTCAGGTTTGTTGGTTTCATAGCGCAGTGCAGCGCTAACCACTGCACGACTGCTCCTCCCAATAAGCGATAATAATACAAATGGACCAGGCAGTGGTTTGATGAATCGCAACAATAACCTTAAAGGCATAAATGGATGTTTACTTTTTTGACCAGTGTTTCCCACTTACCTTTGCTTAAAGAGCCCCTTAGAATAGCAACACCGGAAGTTTGTGGCCACATCACCACAAGTGCCTTTCTCTTTCTACACGGCTCTATGGAATGAGATCATTTTTGTTTTGCCAAGGGGAACCAAGGCTAACGTACCAATTCTCCCCCCCCCCTCACCCAACCACTCTGCGACATGATGAACCGTCGCAATGTCAGGGTCACGATTCAGCTTGGGAATCTCCGCTGTAACCCTGCGGTAAATATGGCCACCTGTGGTGGATGCAGGGGGCCCCACGTTTTACAGCCCCTGCTGTCAAATCAACTGGCTGCATGTGGGCCCTCCCCAACACCCCATACGAGCAGGTTGTGGGAGTTGACTTCACCACGTAGGGGAGCGTGGCTCGGTGACATTCGAGCACAGTAAAGAGGACTATTTGAACCAAAATATGTAACAAATATAGATGATAATAATCAATAATTTCACACACAATTCGATAGACGTATCGTGAGAATAATCATCTCTTTTCGTTGACGAAGCTCTACATCGTTACATTAACTACCTTGTCTGGTATGCGGGAGATCGTGGGTTCGATCCTGACCCATGGCGTCTGATTGTTTGAAGTTTGCGCGTTCTCCCCCGTAGTCGGGTGGAGTTTTCTCCGAGTCCTCTGGTTTTCCCCTCCACATATATGAACGTGCGTTTAGCGTATTTGGCTGCTATACATTTCAACGTGATAAGCCCAATTCGTTGAGCTATCATTTGTGGTCAGGTCACTTCTAAAAAAAGAGTTACGTAGCTCAGGGGGGGGGGCCCTTTCCCGGTTAAATAAAAAATAGTTTTTTTCCCCCCGCAAAAATCTTCCACATCTTCTGGTGTGACTAGGATAGTCCCTGTTTCACAAAGACAGTCCCCCTACCCTTGGTGCCCCACAGCATTTGTGAATTGTAGCAGATTACATATTTTTGTTCCCATGCTTGCAACATGCAACGGTCTGGTGGGGGGGGGGGCTCTGTGAGTAGGGGGGGCAGGGCCAGCAGAGGTAATAGGCAGAGCCTATAAGCAGTGGGCGGGGCCAGAAATCGAGTGGGCGTTTTCATTTCAATTAAAACATTTGAATAAATACATGTTGGAAGCAATTCATATATTTTAAGTTCTCATCCTTGCATTAGAATATATAGAGCAGTTCATATTTTGATGGTATCACGTGGTAATGCTCCAGGACATGGTTTTAAATCTATTACACAGTGCATATTGGAACTGAAGCTTGACATCAAAACGTTCAATCGCAAATCAAATCGCAATCTGTCAGAAAAATCGTAATTAGACATTTCCCCCAATTCGTTCAGCCCAGGCCCACACCCCCACCCCCGTGTGGGTGTGGCGAACTTACAAAGTAAACCTCAGAGATGTCGCTATCCTGTCCGTCGGGTGGGGGGGTGGCGGGGGAAGCCCCCCTCAGGGGATGGGGCCTGTAGCTGGCCGCACCGGGGGGGTCTGCGCTCTCGGGCTCTGCTCCGCTCTCGATCGTCACCTCCACCTCCTCCGGCATCACCACTCGTCTGTGGGGTTAGAGCACGGCGACAGCCGCTCGTTCGCTCGCCAATCAGGAGTCCGAGAGAGACACTTAGGCCTGTCCCACTAGAATCGCGCGTTCACAGAGTATCCGGCTGCTATAAATCTCCACGCGACGATACGCCACTTCGTCGGGCTATCATTTGTGGCCAATGAGCCAATGAGCTCAGTGGGCCTTACCCGGTAAAATGAAAAATCGTTTAGTTTTTTTTTTTAAAACTCGATTCAAACGCAGCATCACGGCATCGCCCACACTCGTCAAGACGATGCACTGCCCATGCAGTGCAGTGGGTAACGTCAGCGGCTTGGCTTCTGCAGTGGGGAAAACAAAACCAAGCCGTGCATTCTGGAGCAGCGTCAGCCTGGCTTGGCAAGGCGCTGTGCACAGGTTGGATGTGCCATACACTCGATGTTGACGGGGGTTGGTGGCCAAGGGGCCGAGACAAAAAATTAAATCGCTACACAGGTTGGGCTGCCTGGATTTGAACTCGGGATCTCAGCGGTGCGAGCTCAACGCTCTGACCTCTTGAGCCACCCGGCCACCTCCCGAGCTGATATTTTAGTCGTACTGCATTGGGACGAATGCAGAGTGTCCCCCCCTCCCCTCGCCCTCCCCCCCACCCTCATGTTTGTCAAGCGGCAGCACATTGACCTCGGTGCTGTTCCACTCAGCATCAAGCTGGGCAGTTTGCACAGCACTGTCAACAGCAAACACCATCTGTCTCACACAAAGCCAACCCCAAACCAGGTAATTGAATACAGAAATATAAGCATGGAATTAAATTACTGAAAAATCAACAGCCAGACTTCAAAACCGATGACGCTCCACCCCCCCCCCCCCCCCCCCCCCATTTTCCTCTCCACACACTCGCCGTCGTCTGTCGAGTGTCTCTGGGCCTCGGTGCCGTTTCATTTACAGAGCGAAGGACTCGAAGCCAACCGCATGTTAAGTGCGCCACAGACGTCCCTTCCCCGAGGCGTCCCCTATGGTGGCATCTGTGCCCTTTAAATAAAAACGTCACCGCGTCCCATTCAGAATAATGGAAGGGCGGCTGCGTGACCCCCCAAGTTGACGAACCTATCCAAATTAAGACGAACATTTTTCACCCGTCCCCCCACCCCCCACCTTTGAAAGCAAATGTTGCTGGTGCTTCTTATAACAACCGCGAGGTTATGGTTATTACGGCTTCCGAATAGCGGCACGTGGGAATGGGATGGGTGGCTTATAATCTGGTGTGTGTGTGTGCGACCAGATTAGCGCATGTGCAAGCTGTATATGGATTATTTTTGGCTGCTATAGATTTCCACATGATAAGCCACTTTGTTGAGCTTTTGTGGTCAGGTCCGCTTCTGAAAAATAACTAATAGCTCAGTGCACTTGTAGATGGTAAAAAAAAAAAATCGTTTAGTTTTTGTAAATTAATTTACTCATTTATTTTTAGTGATTTGCTCACCTTCCCTATACTTTGCACTGCCGTTTTTTTTTAAATACGATTTGTTGTTGTAACTCTGTGACCCGCGCCTACTGGGCATTTGTAAAAAAAATATAAAGAAAAAGAGCTTCACAGCGCATCGGATTTCTCCAGGATAAATAAAGATTTTGATTCCGATTCACGCATTGTATATTACCTGTTGGCAGGGTGCGTGGGAGCGATCTCCACTGGGAAATGCTCGCTGGCCGACAGCGACGTGGAGGACAGCGTGGTGGCGATGGAGGCAGTAGTGGCATCCTCCAGCGATGGAGGGGTGCTGGGCAGGATGTCCGGTCGACCATGTGGCAGACCTGGCAGCAGCAACACCACAACAACAACACAACAACAGTGTCAGCAGCTTAGCAGTGTCAAGCACAGAACTATTGCCCCCCCCCAATTCGAAACACAACCCTCATTGGTCCTTACATTAGAACAGAGCAGCAGATTGAATATTCACTTCTTTAGAATTGCTTTTTGTGTTTAGTTTGTTGTCCTTCCCCCACACCTCCGATTAGCACAGCTGGGTCTGTACCGTGCAAAAAAAACATACAACGTGAACGAGTACATTATAAGGTTGCACTCATTACAAACAACGTGATCGCCACAAATGAACTATGCCACGTGAACTCCGTTCATCCTCGCAGCGGCTTTTGGTTAACCATCGAACAAAGACGTTGGCCGCCGCATCGCGGGCTTTCAGATGCACTGTCCGCGGCCGTCTGGAATGCTCTTCATTCGCATATTAAAAAGCCACTGGAGCTGTGCACTTTTAAATCTAGATTGAAAACTAATTTCTTTAGAACTGCTCTTTGTAACAATTTAGTCGTTCTTTAAACCCGCACCTCCGATTAGCACGGCTGGCTACGTACGGTGCGGAAGAAGTTCAACAGGCATGCATACACAACCAGTGTCGCCATCTGACAATCGGAACACCTCATAAGTGCTGACAAAGAGAGACGCGGCCTCGCAGTGTTGCCGACTCGCATCACGTGCAGCGAACGTTTCATCAGCGTCACCCCTGGGGTCCCGGATCGGCCACGAGCCAGACGCCTCCGTTGTCTTGCGAGGCCCGGCAATTAATTATCAGTTACGCTCCTGGCTCGGCTCGGCGAAATAGCCAGTGGAAGAAAATAGCCAGTGGAAGAAAATAGCCAGTGGAAGAAAATAGCCCGTTAGCGCGAGAGGACGCAGCATGGGCTCGGCACGGAATTGCCAGTTAAAAAAAAAAAATGAAACACGGGGAGAAATAGGGCGGGCGGGCGGGCGGGGGGGCGGGGGAAGGAGGAGGGATAGACCAACCACCTTCATCGTCCAGGTTGGGAAGACTGGAGGCCCCACGGAAATACTTGTCTTCCTTCTCGTCCAGCGGCTGGCTGGCGGTGATGGAGGTCGCCGTGGTCACAGTCGTCTGCCGCCGCGGAGGGCCGCTGCCGCCACGCCCCTTCTTTGACGGCGAAGACTTCAGCGCTGGCGACGGCACGAAGTGGGGGTGGGGGAGGGATGCCCGAGTTAACAGCGGGCCAGTGCAAGCCCCTGAAACCACCACCGCTGGCAGAAAGGGGGCTTTCTGCAATCGGGAGTTTGTTCGTAACGGGGCTTAGCGCGTGTGGCCATATGGGCGGGTGGGGCGGGGCGGTTTTTTGTGTTCCCCCGATCCCATTCACTGGCCAAAGCTGGACGGCGGTCAACATGTAAGCGCGCGGTAAAGGTAAGAGAAGGGTAAAGGAGGTGACCCTGAAATTTCTTGCACCTCCGATTAGCACGGTTGGCGACGTAGAGAAGTTCAACATACGAGCCACTGCTGGCGGAGAGACCTGCAACTAGCGGAGGCTCGAGACGGAGGGTATTTTTGTCCAACTCGTCCACACTGACCAGATGTCTTGGAAGAGGTGGGGGGGGGGGGGGTTACCCACACGTTACCCCACTTCATACGGTCGATTGTTATTAACCCATCTATGCCGTTGGGTGGGCGGAGGAAAAGATTTTAAAAAAAAACTTTCTGGATCGCAAACTCACGGCAGCGTCCAGTTAACTATACACAGGGGAATAATTTCTCACCCAAAAATGTCGGTGCCACTAACAGAGAGCAGTCGGTGGTACATAACTAGTAGCCACGGGCACAGTGCAAGGTAGACGGGATGTAGTGTGCTGCGTGTGGGAATATTTTCCGGATCGTCTATGTGGACAGAGGCTGGCTGAAATTAAAAACTGACAGTAATTGCACGTGCACATATGGACAAGGTACAGGCCTTTTGCTAAGCGGTGCGGGCCGTGAGGGTCGTTGGAACATACTTTGCCCCACGTGGCCAGCATGGGTCGGTGAACGTGGGGGGATTTAGGCGGGGGGGGGGGGGGGACATGGAAGTGCAGTACAACAATGGGCTTTGCTGCACTGCCCTCTGCTGCCCGTCACGCGGCACCTGCAAGCGGGGAGGTGGATCAAACCGTCTGTGCTTGGTGCTCGCCCCCCTCTTTCTAACGCTACGCAGGCTCAAACCCGCTTAGCTTCCGACAAGATCGGCAGAATTCCTTTTACCCCAGGCCCAGAGAGCACACTGGCGGACGAACTTGGAACGTTCTTTTATATCGAGGAGAGACGGCTCCCCTCCCCCCCCATGGGGCATCAGTCGTTTCCATTCGTTCCTCTTTTCGTGAACCGCTAAAAGATAGCGGCGGCACAGACTGCGCTGCGCAAGCAAGCAAAACGGATTGAAGCTGCAGCGTCCGGTGAAAATGTAAGCCGGACGCTAATCACGGACACGAACGGGTATGCCCGTCGGGAATTTTTGCAAAAGCTCAGAAAGTTCACTGGGGTTCTTCGGCATGTGCACACCATCGGCGACGAGCTGACCGCATTCTCCGGATTATAAAACACGCCGGAGAGTTAAGAAGCACACCCCCACAAAACTTCGGGGGTAATTTTCGAAAAAAACGCCCCAGGGAAAAGCGGGATACAAGGGTGTAAAATATAAAGTTAACGAAATGCAAAGATAGATGTGGTGCCGTGGATGAAATAAAAGTGCGCGTTTATAATCCGCAGAATGCGGTAGAGCATTCCCCTCGTTATTCGCGAACTTGCGGTCCGCGATTGTGGCTATCCGCGAATCGTGTCTGGAGCTCTAGATGGGTGCATCGAGCGAAAGTGATCAGATAAGACGATGAGAGTTAATGTGACGTGAGAGAGTGATTTGGTTAAGTGACGAGGTAAAGTTACGAGGTATGTAGCGAACTGTGCTATTGTGACGAGATGAAGTGATGAGATGCCTGAATATTTACGTATACCAATTCATATTCATTTACCAATTTTCACAGTTTTGCGTTATAATCATTTCCACGTATTTAATAGCTTATTAACGTATTTCATTGAGATAATTCATTAAAGAGATAGGTTTTCGTAGGGGCAATATCATCATCCGCGAAATTTGCTATTCACGCGCCATCTGAGGAACGTATCCCTCGCGAATAACGGGGGAATACTTGTGATGAAGACGATGATGACTGTGCGTTGGGGAGACATCTCTCATGGCAGATTATTCTGAACGTTTGGTGGGAGGGGTCTTCTGTGCTCTGGGGTGGGTTGGCCATGTAATCGGTATGGCATGAATAATCCAGATTATGAGATGCTCCCCCCTGACTTTTGATTAAAAAAAATAAAGAGCGGAGGGGGGGGGAGGGGGAAGTTTAAAATATTTTTTTTTAAAAATACGGTGCTGTAATTTAATTAAGATGTGCTTCGTCACATTTATAAACACAGCCACGCGTGGATTAAATGTGTGTGCAAGGCAACATTACTTACATGGAGTTTTCCTAAATACTTGATTGCACATGAACTTCAAAAACCGTTCTGCGTAAAAACTTGGTCTGTGCACCGAAACGGTGTCCTAAACGGAGACACGTAAAAAGATGTACACACGCACACGCGCGCGCACGCACGCACATTAAACACACATTCAAAACCCGCAAGACAGCCATAAGCACACAGAAGTGCACATACATGCACACATATAATACACAGATCAAAAACAATACAAGTGTATGCATACACACAATGTTACGCATGATAACAAATTACATTATGATGTAATACACTGGTAAAACACACACAGATGTGTACACACGCAATATAACACCCATAACACACCATTCTCAACCTCGCACAGATGTACACACACACCGACATTGCACACCCATTCAGGTAAACCAAACCATCTCCAAACCTTTATATAAACAGTTTGCCTTTAGATGCTAACCCCTTTTCCTGATGACGACCGCTTATGTTGCGTCCGAAACATCGTGATATTTTTATTCACTTTATTTATTTTTCTATCTACGTGACTTTACCGAAAGAACCAAAGAATATGAATTCCTGCAGTCACGAAAGTTTCAAGTAAAAATTTAAATATTAAACAGTCCTAATCACACAGGTGTACACACAGATGTACATTCTACACAACCCCCATTTGTCATGAATTGGAAGCGATATCACCACGATACTAGTGCCAGGCTAGGTGCGCATTGAGGTTATGTGAAGTGTGTAAGGCTCAACGGCAGGTCTTCTCGGGACAGACCCAGGAACCGTGTGTTGACTACGCTTCCTGGCAGATGCACACAACCTGTACTCCCTAATGCACCAATTTAATGCGTTTTAGCTGCCCGGTGCTCTGCTTGTTGTTGTTAGCATCACTCCTCTACCATCCACTATTGTTGGAGGGCGACTGCCTCCAACTGCCCAGTAGCAGCGTCCTTCTTGAGCCTCCTCCACAGAGGCCGATCTTGCCACCGCTGGTACCAGTCACTGGCAAGTCCAATTAGCTCCACATCCTTTCTGTCCCCCTCTATCTTGGCAAACAGAAGCTGACTCTTTGGTTCTTTCGGTAAAGTCACGCAGAAAATAAATTAATAATAAAATACGACGTTTCAGTTGCAACACAAGCAGCCATCATCATCAGGTAAGAATGAATGATAAAACACAGACGCGGAAACACATGCAGAGACACACCGAGCGAGACACACACCAAGAGAGGACTGAGGAGGTGGCTGGACATGTGGGCAACATGACCCAGCCAACACAGCCTCTCCTGTTGGAGGAGCTCACAGATGGGAATGGATCCAGATCTATTAAGGATCAGTGAGCTCCTCAAACATTCCAGTCTAAATTAACCCAGTGTGGATTTGTAGGCAGGCCAGCATGAATGTTTAATTACACACACATATATATTACCAGATGTGTATACACACAAGCACGCACGTAACATACCCCCATGCACAACTCAATTCTAAACACACACACACACACAAATGTGTGCACAAACAAGCATACATTTCACACCCAGATACAAAGATCCCCCGTATTGTCTTGACAGACTGCTGGGTAAAATGCTGTTAGCAAGCACCTATGAAGGCCGGCACGGTACACGAGGGGGTGTGTGGGTGGCCAGCACCATGCCCGGCCGCCTTTGTCCCCCTAGTGGCGATGTTTACACACCGCACCAGGTACTCATTTGAGGCCGAGTCGACCTGGAGGAGGCCAAGGACCGGTTCAGATAATCGTCACGGGTGTTGGCCGTGAGCGGGAATCGAACTCGGGGTCGCTGGGTCCGTAGCGCAGCGCCAACCGCTACACCACCGCTCCCCACACACCCAGATTTGCTCGCGCGCGCACGCACGCACACACACACGCGTACATTACACAGATATTTTGCGATGTCACCTTCCACGGCCACGACTCGACGTTAAATCACCGTGAGCGCTCAACGTAACTTTTATTTTTCATCTCGTTAGACGCCGATTAAACAAATCGGTATATGCAGGAACTTTTTTTAATGGGGAAAAAAAATTAAGCTTACCCCAGAGGTGGAATCCAAGGGTTCAAAGTTAAGCTTTTCTAAACAGGGCCCTACATTAATAATAAAGGACGGGGAATGCAATCTCTCTGGTAAATATTGATAAAATACCAATTTCCAGGGTCTTGTGAGGGGGTTGGGTCGGGGAGGGGGATGATAGCCCCCCTTTTTCCTTGCATCCACCAATGATTTACCCAATCTATTGCCTTAATACCTAGGCATTCGCGAACAACATTATCCATAAGAGGTTTTTGGGTTAGATCGCGTGAATATATAGGTGTAACCCGCGCCACTGCCAGACGCAGCCAATTGATAATCTTTGTCACGTGAACAAAAGGTGCCAATCCGTTACCCAGCTGAGCACACCCATGTGTTGGGAGAGAAAAATTGTAAATGTCGCGGGCTTACTCTCCAGCACACCGGTTCGGGCTGAACTAGCAACGAATCTTGACTTGAAGCTTTCGCGGCTGCAGGAATCCACACTCCTTTGGCTCTTTCGATAAAGTCACGCAGGTAGAAAAATAATAATAATAGAGCGATCGTCATCAGGTGGGACAGTTTTTTTTCATGCTGTGGTTGTCCCACCCGATGACGGTTGCTTGCGTTGCGACAAGAAACGCATCGTGATCTATTGTTTTTTTCCATACCTACGTGACTTTACCGAAAGAACCAAAAAGGGTATGGAAACGAATTGGCACGCTTTGTGTACGTGACAAACCTCACTAACTGGCCGCGTCTGGCGGTGGCGGCTTTGACGACACGTTTATAATTACGCGATGTAACCCACCAAAAACGAACCTCTATTGTGGGCCATTTTATTGGACTTTGCTCAGGAGGTGTTTCGCCGCCGACGGCGTGACGGGGTTTATTTTTAATTCCTGTTTGCTCCGCGCCGCCACCCCGGCTCCCCGCACCGCTCCCGTTCCCGTTCACGTGCGCACCCCGATGCCTCCTTTATTGAGGGCGACGTTGGCGCGCGGAATAAAGATCGACCGATTTGACTCACCCCATCGTGCACCAATGCTTTCCATGAATGTTCCAACTTCTTGATCAACCTGACGGGGGGGGGGGGAGAGACAACGTTTGGTCTCGCAAACTCCATAAAACGCAAGTGTTTAACCGTAAGCGGGAAAACCGCACGATTTAGTAACTTAACCCTTTACAATTCTGATGACGTATAAACACGTCATTAGTTTTTCTTCCCATTCCGTTCCGATGACGTACGGTGTATGTACGCGTTCGTCACCGGAACGAAATTGGAAGAAACAACAAAATAAGATAACTTTATTGGTACACCGAGGCTCCCACAAGGTACATGCGGGAGGGCGTATGGAAGTTTGGCGCCAGCTGTCAGTGTGGTCGTGTCGCCCTGTGATAACGAAAGCCCTTTGTGTAAAGAAAAAACTTCATGTAGAGTGACCGATAGGTGAAGAAGGTACGCCTTTTGGCGTCCTCTGGTCTAGCACCAATTGAGACGAGGCTCAAAAAAAAAAATCTGTCTCTAGTGTGGACCAATCAGTTTCAAGGACAATGCATATGTTATCAAAGTGTGTTTTTTGTTTGCATTTTGACCACAAATATTGTGGTTAATGCAGACATGATTCCCTGTAAAAAGGTTTCAGTTTTGTCGCCAGAAAAAAAGAGTAAGAAAAAGGGGAAAAAACCCTATTCTTAGGTGAAGAAGGCTTTATTAGGTTTGTTGCCGTATATTCTACACAACAACGCTCATTATTATTATTATTCAGTGTTGTGATAAATACGCGTGGTTGATTTGATCGCCGTTGGAAATCGCGTTGTTTTTCTCGTTGGAGTGTTCTCACGGACCTGTAAGACTGAAGGATGTCGATGATGCCCAAGTAAAGAACAAGTCGTTCCCCTTTGCTGTTCTTTGCTGGAACTCCTCCCATGCTGCAGAAGACAAAAACAAAGACCCCCCCCCCCCCCCCGTGTAGCCTTAACAGACTGTTGGGGCAAGTGCTGTTAGCGAGTAGCACCCTGTGCAGGGCCGGCACGGCACACGAGGGAAGCAGGGGTGTGGCCGGCACCACGCCCGGCCGCCTTTGTCTCCCCGAGCGGCGATGCTTACGACACACCGCACCAGTTACTCATTTGAGGCAGAGTTGACCTAGGGGGGAGGGGGCCAGGACCGGTTGAGACATTCGTCACTGGTGCTGGCCGTTAGCGGGAAACCGAACCTCGGGTCGCCAGGTTCGTGGCGCAATGCAGCGCGCTGACCGATGCCATTCTGCGGAAATGCACGTCCGCACGCACGGCACACAGCACAGGCCAAGCGCAATAGAAATCATTACCAGCTGCCACAAACAAAGAGGCTCCGATTTATGTGCCGGCGAATGTTCCTTGCCGTCCAATTTACGGGGAAAGCAAAACCAATGTCTCCCATCACTCACGATGGGGCAAATTGCCAGGGGGGAGGGGATGTTGTTTGTGCAAGGTTTTTCTTTTAAATATTCACATATATATAACGGTTGGTGAGCACAGGCCTAAAGGACCAGAAAGCAAGTGGCCAGCAGTACTGTGAACATTACTCACCAGCCCTCTGCTTGGTGAGTGAGATACCACTCACCAGCCCTCTGCTTGGTGAGTGAGATACCACTCACCAGCCCTCTGCTTGGCGAGTGAAATACCAATCACCAGCCCTCTGCTTGGTGAGTGAGATACCACTCACCAGCCCTCTGCTTGGCGAGTGAAATACCAATCACCAGTCCTGTGTGGTGTACATGACACCACTTGCCAGCCCTGTGCGGCGCATGCGGCGTGCGCGCGTGCGTGCGTACACCAACTCACCAGTCCTCCGTTTGGTGCGTGGTGGCTCCCGTGCGCGACTCGGCCTGGATGGACTCCATGGCGGTGGAGTAGAGGGCCTTCTGCCCCGGGGGCCTGCGCGGGTCCAAGGCCCCCAAGCCAAACCCCGGCATCACCAGCCCCTCGGCGTCGCGCTCCCTCTGCGACTGGTCCAGGTTGTGGACACCGATCAGGAGGCTGTAGTCCATGATCTTGAAGCTCTCCAGGACCTGCAACGGACACCGGACTTTAATGTAGTCACCATCAGCAGTCACGGTCGATCCACTGCTGGATGGAGGCCTTGCCTGAGCGCCCACCACCCTCGCTGCCACCTCTCACGATCCTGCGACATTATAATCCACCGAGCACCTCCACATGACGTATTGTCAGGCGCGTTTCCATTCCTCGGCTAATGTGTTCAGAATTGTTTTTTTCGGTCGAAGTCTTAGTTTTGTCGTCGACAAGCTACGTCATTTTAGTGGTAGTCCAAGTCTGTGGCTTTCATAAGTAGATTTTTAGTCTCGTCAAATAAAGCAGCCAACAGATAAAAACTAAAATTCCTCTTCTGCATCTTCATTCGGACTCATTAACTTCGCCTCGTGAGTAAGTTGTGGTTTTTGGTCTTGGGTGGGGTAGCAGTCACTGCTGTCCTACTATAGGAGACAAAGTTTTGCTGGCTGCATTATCAACGCACACGCCCAAATGCACGTGCTCGGTGGTGACGTCGCTGCACGCGTCTGCTTCATGACGTCTCCCGCATTCCACAGCGTTGAGCTGGGTTCCTGAGTCGAGCTGACGATGTCACGCCTCCCGCACCACGCACCCTCCACTTGCGCCAAGTATCGAGCACTTTCCGTGGGTTTAGCTGTTATTAATTTTCCATTCAGAGACGTCTGCAAGCTGCAGGATGGGTCCCGTTCACCGATGAATATCGGGAATGTGCAAGCGGTTGAGCGTTAACTTTATTTACCGAGGCATAGCGCCGTTGCTTTAAAAAAAAAAAGACATTGTACTCACCGCAAAGAACTGAAGCGACACGACCGCACTCTGCGATAGCTGGCGGTAAACTGTGCCACACGCCCTCCTGCATGGCCTTGTGGGAGCCTTGGTATTGATTAAGCTATTTTATTTTAGATTTTCTTCCAATGCTGCTCCGATGATGTACACGTACGTCATTGGAATGGGGAAAAGGGTTATACGGTCATGCTACATTTAGACAAAAGTTTAACGGGTTGGCGGGCACTGGGGGTGGAGTGTGCACGCACATGGTTCGTTTAGTACTCGGGACAGGAGGCTGCGTGGGAACACTGTCTGGGGAACGTTAAGTTATCCCTACCCCTTGCGGCCATTGGGGGTTTGATTGACCGTACTTCACACCACGCTGGTCAGTGCGGGTTTGGTGGAAGCCGATGGGGACGTCCTGTCCAGCATCGGTTCTGATAGTTTGATTGTCTCCTCTCGTCCAGCCGCATACGCAAGTAGAGAGGTGCATACTTTCTCCCGACCCCCACCCCATTGTAATCCAATTACTGGAGCGTATGAACCAATGGCCTGGTAAAAAAGAATGTACACCATTATTTGAATAATTGGGTAGCCCGAGACAAAAAAAAACCCAACATCATTAAGCTTTCCTCCACGTGTAACGCTACCTCTGCCTTTGCAAAGAACCATTGCGAATCAAAGACAACATTAGCACTTTTACACAGACTCTAAAAATGCGCAGTTCTTTTCACCTCCCAAGGATCTAAGCTCTATTAACAAGGGCACATGCATCATGACATCATCACTTGCACAAATCTGGCACTCAACAGCACGGGGTGTGTGTGTGTGTGCGAGCACCCCGTGCTAATAGCTGCAGTGTAATCCCGCTGCAGAATAACAAAACAACCAAACATTGATAATCTGCTTTTTTGCAAGCAGCGTATACTTGTTGCAACCCTAACCACTTGTTCATAATGGGCTTACAGAGTATGTGGCCATGTGGGTGGGTGGGGCTGACTTTGTGTTACCCCCATCCCCCTTCACTGGCCAAAGCTGGACAGAGGCCAACATGTAAGTGTGCAGTCAAGGTAAGAGAAGGTAAGGGAGCAATCCTGCAATCCCTTGCACCACCGATTAGCACGGTTGGCTATGTACGGTGCAAAAGAAGTTAAACATACATACGCATACAAGCCACTGCTGGCAGAGGGACCTGCAACTAGAGGAAGTTCAAGATAGAGGAGGGAATGTTGGACGACTCTTTCACACTGCGCAATCATCTTGGAAGTCGTAATTAATAGCAGTAACAGTTCTATTTCCGATGGTCTGAAATCCGTTATAGCTAAAGGGCTAAACTTTGCAGTCACACCTAAACACATACCAGTTATTGATATTCATTGTCAAAGTAGACGTGGCTCTCAAGGGCCTGGGTCACATTGCCGCAGACGTAGCAAGATCTGAAATCGCTGCAACCCTCAAAAACGCTAAGATGCCAGCTAGCAACCTCAGCAAAGATGAGCGTTTTGAATTATATAAATTAAAAAGAGGGATGACATTGTAGTCCTCTCAGCTGACAAGGGCAATGCTACTGTCATCATGGATAAAATAGAATACAACAATAAAATTTAAGAATTACTCGACGATGGTAGCTATACAAAAATAAAAAGAGATCCCACCAACAGTCTCGTCACACAAACCAACAAAATAATTTCTGATTCAACCGCATTAATTGATCAATCTAAACAGTTTTCGTTGAAACCTTCTGCTGCCAGGTCACCAAGATTATACGGCTTACCAAAAATACATAAAGTAGATACACCCCTTCGTCCCATCGTCTCTACTATCAACTCCCCCACCTACAAACTGGCTCGTTTTTTGTCTGAAATCCTGCGTCCTTTCACTGGAAAAACCACCTCTGCGGAACAAAATTCTACTCACCTGGTATTGACAATCAAGGGTATTTCCCTGTCCCCAGACGACCTGCTTGTCAGTTTTGATGTAGTTTCCTTATTCAACAGTTCCTGTACCTGACACCATCGCAATCATTGAAGACTTGGTTCATCAAGGACTAAACACTGAGGTACCCCCCCTGGTGAGACACTGTTTATCCAATACATACTTCACTTGGAATGGAACTTTCTACAAACAAACTGAAGGCACCCCAATGGGCTCCCCCCTATCTCCGGTTATAGCTAACATTTTCATGGAGAAATTTGAGACTGACGCCATCCAGACTGCCACTCTGCGCCCAACCTTATGGAAGAGGTACGTGGATGACACTTTTGTCATCTGGCCACATGGCCGGCCTGCTCTAGACCAATTCTTCGACCACATCAATTCCATACACCCAGCCATCATATTTACCATGGAAGTCGAAAAAGATGGCAAGCTACCTTTTTTGGATGTCCTAATAAAAAAGAGACCTGATGGTTCAATGAGCCACTCTGTCTACAGGAAAGCTACCCATACCGATGCTTATCTGAAAGGGGATTCCCACCACCATCCATCACAGAAGAATGCAATGCATATCCGACCAGGAACACATAGGCAGTGAACTCAAGCACGTACACCAAGCTCTTAAGGCTAATTGTTACTCCGACTATACAATCCGCAAAGCTATCACTCAAACCATGAAGAAGGACCCTCTTGAGGAGCCTTTCAAAACCATCACTTTACCCTACATTGCGGGGATCACAAAAAAGATCTCCAAAATCTTGAATAAACACAAGATCCAGGTCTGATTCAACACATTACATAAAATCCGTGATCTGGTTCCGTCTGTAAAATATGTGATTCCGGACATACAGTACCCTGGCGTCTACAAACTAAGTTGCCTCTGTGGTAGTAGTTACATTGGAGAAACCAAACGACATGTCTCGGACCGCATTCGTGAACACAAAGCAGACCTAAAACACGGGAGGACCAACACCTCGGCCGTGGCAGATCACTGTTATAATTCAGTAGGCTCACATGACATTGACTTCTCCAAGACAGAGGTTCTTTGCAAGCCATCTGGCTACCATGAGAGATTCGTTCATGAGGCTATCCACATATACAAACACGAGACAATTTCAACCGAGAAGATGGATTCTGGCTTACTAATCATTGGAGGGATTTGATAAACCATTTCAGGTCTTAATTGTTCAAGCTAACGGTGGCTTTCAGACCGCATTCATTATTTTCGTCCCCCTCCTCCTCTTTTCCGAACATAGATGGACTCGTCCATCTGAATAACTGCCGAATCGCTCTCTGTGGTGCTAACGTTATTTTGAAAAAAAACGCCACTTTTTTCCAATTTTCTTGCTGTGGTTTTCACACCTGATGATGATTGCTTGCGTTGCGGTCGAAACGTCGTGAGAATTTCATTGTTTTATATTTTTATTATTTTATTGTTTCCCTTCTACGTGACTTTACCGAAAGAACCAAGAATATGAATCCCTGCCGTCACGAAAGCTTTAAATCAAAATTTACAAGGCAACTATCAAGAACAAGGCCACACACGTTGAGATATTGCGAGCTGGTGGCTTTGGCAAGGACCGAGAGCATTGCACGTGCAATGTGGTGGTCACATGGCATGCAAGGCGTGATGGGGAGACGTGCCGTCCTCCTCTGCTCATGGAGCGGCAGGACACACCTTTGCGCGGTGTTAAATCTATTTTGTTTCCGGCCTGCCAAGACGCAGTCTCCTGCTGCGTCGGGGTTTGCTCATCGCTCACAGAATCGGAATCAGACTATTCATTTGTACTGGAGGAATCCGATGAGCTGTAAAGCTCTTTTTCAAAGATGTCCAGCAGGGGCGGGTAGCAACGTTCCAACAAACAGCACAAACACATCACAGTAGTGCAATGTCCAAAGGTAAACAAAAATCACCAAAACACATACAATTCAAACAGCCCTATACTACCCGGCAAAGCCCACTGAGGTATGAACTTATTTTTCAGGGGCGACCTCGCCACAAATGAAAGGTCAACAAAAGTGACCCATCATTCGGACATTTAAAGCTTTCACAGCTCACTTAAAGCGTTGGAATGCGCCTTACCAAACAGTCCCGCTGTAAGGTCTTTGACATGGCGTTGTACGTGTCCGAGTCAAGGAGCAGTCCATCGGGATGGTCCTGAATGAAATCGAGGTCCTTGAACGTGGGGTTCGACTTCTCGCGCTCCTTTCGCGACGCCCGGCGCTTGTACGTGGAGCCCTTCAGGTCGAACTTGATGTGCATCTTCATTGCGCGCGGCAGAAGGTTGTTCATCACCACCAGCCTGATGTTCTTGCCTCCCGACTGAACACAGTACAGGCCGTAAAACTTGGGCAGTAGTGTCCTCACGTTCTGGTTCAAATTCTGCGGTGGGGGTGGGAAAACAAAGCAGTCGTTTTGTTTTTTTTTTTTACAAAAAATCAACCCTCCCATCTAAGCGTGATCCGGCCTGAACTCTGCGTTGCTTCTGAAACGAGATCGAATTAATTTCAGGTGATTTGGTCATAGGCTTAAAGTCAAGGGCTTATTACCTGTTGAGTTGGGTATGTGCGCGGTCAGCGACCCAGAAAATATTCCCACACACAGGTGACGACATCCAGTATACCTCTCGGAATGGCCTGCGGCTGAAAGTCACCTGCCACTCCTGGTCTCACAGCGACTAGGAAAATATTCGGTGAGGAATTAAGCCCTGGTCGTGCATCTTACCAAATCACTTGTGAAACGGCAGATCTTGTCAGATCACGCAATCTAAGCGGGATTTGATTCAGGATGGTACTTGGACAAGTGACCGCTATGCACAACAGGTGTTATAGGCTGCGACTATTGGGCAGCAGTGGGCAGTGCAGCAAAATCATTTGTTGTACCGGACTTCTACGCTACCGCATATATGCACAAAACCAACGAAAAACTAAATTTTTCGCAACCCCAGCGTCAAAATAATCAAAAGCAGGACCCACACCCTTGAACACAGTTTTCGGGGGGGGGAATATTGCCACGGTTTTGTTTCTCGCAAATATAAATCACAAAATCCAATCCTACGAACCGAGTAACATCCTACTACATCCTACTGCGTCATTGCACGGGGGGACAGTGCCGCAAGCAATGCGGCAATTAACGAGCAGAGCGCCTGCTGAGAAACACTCACCATGTAGTATCCAGGAAGCAGCTTCTGCAAGAATTCCGCCTCCTTGTGCATAACCGTTTTGATGATGAACTCATCATCGCTTGTAACAAAGAACACGGAGCCGCTGGCGCCTGGGTTTGTGAGCTCGATGAGCGGCTCGCTGCACAGCGAGTACTGTCCACGCGCACAAGCAGAATGACAGCGGGCCGCGCAGTCAGAAGCGGCCGCGCGAGACATGGTATTCCAACCCCCTGATGGGATTCTGACCCTGCGGTCAGAATGACAGAATGTCAAGTCATTTCTATTTACACACGTGTGCCGCCTTCTCCGGCACAAATCGGCACCGTCGTGAGATTTGTACTCGGACTAAACATGAAATTAGACAGGTTCTAAACGATGAGGAAAAAAATACGTATACAGTTACAACCTACCTATACAGTTGAATGTTCCGAATTAATGTTATTATCACTAAGAAACGTGATCGCAACTTACTAAATAATCATCGGGTCTGATCCCGAACAGTTCACGGAAGTATCTGAAAGCCACCGGCGCGTAAGTCTTGAATCTGAAGTCAGAGTAGTGATGAGCGGGCGTTAAGTTACTTCCTTCGCTGTGAAGAAACGGACACAGGGGAATCAATCAACAAAAACACGAGATAAAAAAACACCACCGTAAACACCCGCATGTATGTATTTTGACTTCTTTCGCACCGTACATAGCCAACCGTGCTAATTTGGCAGTGTAGGGGAAGGACAAACTAAACACAAAAAAACAGTTCTAAAGTGAGTTTTCAATCTAGATGATGTGAAAGTCCAAAGCTCCCAGTGACTTCAAAAAAACTGGAGGAAGAGCGTTCCAGACGGCCACAGTAGCACATCTTAAAGCGCGCAATGCAGTGACCATCTTTGTTCAATGACGACTTTGACATTTAATGCATGATGGGAAAATGGTTTCATTATTACAACAAGGAATGGAAGTCCAAATAGTACGATATATTTCACCTATTATAAACAATGCACATACAACCTTATGTTACACTTCATATATATGCAATACAAAGTTATAATTGAGCATATGAAATGTAAGTGAATGTAGCGTGTAGATACGTATTGTGCTGATGGGAACGAGGCCTCCTCACACCGTGTGGTTCTAAGGGGTAATTGGACCATACTTCACCACGTTGGTCAGTATGGGTTGGTGAATGTGGGGTGCATATATCTTCAAGCTGCACTGCCCTCTCTTGACAACGCAGCCTATCTTATGCACAGTGGTCACCCATCAGGCACATTCCGAGTATTTTAGCCATTGGCCTATTGTCAGGGCTTAATACTGGCTGGGAATCGAACTTGTGTCGCCAGGGTTCATAGTGAAGCATTGCTAACCCCAATACGAGTGCTCCCAACGATGTATACGCACACAAACAAAGGACAAAGATCCCCCATATAACCTCTACATACTTTTGGGGCAAGTGTTGTTAGCGAGCACCTATGAAGGCCGGCACGGCACACGAGGGGGTGGGTGACCAGCCTCACACTTGGCTGGCATTGTCTCCCTAGTGGCGGTGTTCACACACACACACACGTTCTCCACCACGTGGTTGATAAGCTATTGAAACTTACCTTGGAAAAAATATGCTCTCCACTACGTAAAAGTCTTGCATGAGGACGTCTCGCTCGGGCTTGGAGCTCAGGTTGCCCACCGTGTAGCCAATGCCCAGCTCGATGGCTCCTCGCAGGGCTGACGATGTGGTCTGCCACAACAAAAATCAACAACTATGAAGGCTGGCACAGTACACGAGGGGTTTGGTGGCCAGCACCACGCCGGACCGCCTTCGTCTCCCCAGTGGCGATGTTTACACACCGCACCAGGTACTCATTTGTGGCGAAATCGACTTAGGGGCAGGAGGCCTCGGACTGGTTCAGATAATCATCACTGGTGCTGGTGGCCGCAAGCAGTAATGGAACTCTAGCCGCCGGGTTCGTTAGCGTAGCGCAGCGCGCTAACTGCTGCACTACCGCTTCCCACGTTGTAATAAACCCACACATACAGCTCGATCATAAACGGCTTTTTTTTTTAAGTCAACCACAATTTCGTGCTTTTTTTCTTACCTTTTTGTAAGTGGTTTCTCCAGAAGCGTCCACCCCTCTGTGACCGATCTTCTTGGCACCAGGCCCTGTAGCTGCAGTATTCTGGAAACACAGCACACAAGGGGGATTGATGATCCACCACCCACCGATTCACTGCAATCGCTCACCGGCGGTCAGTCGAAACAAAACTATTTTTTATTTTACCAGGTAAGGCCCACAGAGCTCCATAGCCCTTTTTCAGAAGCAACCTGGCTATCACAAATGATAGCTGCTCAACGAAGTGGCTTATCATGTGGAAATCTATAGCAGCCAAATCCTCTGAACACATGTTGATTCTCTGAATGTGGAGGGAAAAACCGGAGGACTTGGAAAAAAATCCACGCAACCACAGGGAGACCATGCAAATTCCAAATACACAGGCGTAAGGGTCGGGATCGAACCCACGACCTCCTGCATACCAGGCGAGATAGTTAACATCTCCTAGCCACCGTGCCGCCCCTAAACACTTCTACCGCGACTATCATGGTCACCGTTTCCGTGAACTTCCACTCATCGATTCCTCCACTCATGTTGAGCATGCCGCCTATCAGACTGTTTCGTATCATCCGTTCTATTGTGCTTGCTTACTCGTGAAAGCTTCTTGGTCAATCCACATTGCGCTCAGCTACCACACTTGCAGGTCACAACTCTTCTCTTTCCGCTTATTCGCATGCACTGCTCCGATTTTGAATTCCCTCCCATAGTCTCTTTCCCTCCCCCCAAAGCTCTTATGATAACCTTGCCCACTCCCGAGACACATTTTCACTCCGATCTTTTAACATCTTTTGAGAACGCTGCATATTGCTGGCCATCAGAAGTTTTGGGCCTTTGGGCCTGTGCACAGCAATTGTGTTGCACGTAAAGAAAACAACATTACAAACTATCTTAATTAAGCATCGGCTGGATAGCTCAGAGATATAGTAGTACGTTACAAAACTGCCGAGATACTGGGTTCAAATCCAGGTTTTGTTTTTTTCAGCCTGATATTTAAACCGGATTCTCATTCGTAGCAAGTTGATGGTTTCCAGAGTTCACAAATAACACATATATAAAAAAACATCGGTTTGATTTCCAAGCGAGGAAACACTTTGATGGACATATAAAAGGTGCGTCCTTGAGTATGGATGAGAGACCACCGGAAACAATTTTTCAGAAGCAGTTTTGTGAAATCACCTTCCACGGACCGTTCTGTGATATGACCCGATGGCGACACTGCTGCTGCGATGTGCAAGAGAGTTCCAAATGGGAATTTGTCTCACAACATGACACGAATAGCAAATTGGAAATATAACCGCGGAAAATAAGTTAAACGCATCATTTCAATTTAGTTTGCTATGCTGAGTAACGCTTCATCTGCCACAATGTTATCGCTGAATGTGCTAATCATCCATTCTTCCTGTTATCTCTGAACCTCCCCGGTTTCTCAGATGAAGAGGGTTATAAGCGCAAGGCCCTCATCACGGACGTGGTATATCAGTCTCATCGCATCACGTATCTCCTAAAACTTAAGTCGGGTGTCAACTGAGCAACGTTCCAGAGACCTCCCAGAAGGAATGAAGCGATGCTGAAATGTGGTGGTGACATCACTGGATATTGGTCGCAATAACCTCTCAATGTTGACCTTCAGATGGGAGACTTTACAAAACGTCAGAGCCCTCTGGGATTGCGACTTGCGTTCAAGCCCCTCGCACGCCAGACAGCGAGGAGCGCTCGGGACGTGGTTGTGCTGTGTGCCGCGTCATTCAATTTTACACCGCAGCAGTAAAGCATCGTACTTTTATAACCGGTGCACCACAAAGCTCACGCAGCGGGCAAAAACAACCCCATTTTATCATAACCACTCCCACGCATAGCAAATGTAAATCGCTTAAGTGACAGAACCCCTCAGATGTCAAGTCGCATTGGGGGTTGATTTTGTGGAACAAGTTCCATTCGCTAAAGATGAAGAATCAAGCAAAAGGATGAATTCTGTAACGCTCTCCAAACGTGCGCCTGTCCGTGTAAGCACTAGTTTTTGGTCGCCAACTTTCAGGCAAACCTCTCATCAACAAACTGGACGGTCTTAGCTAGACCAAGTCTCGAATAGCAAAGCAACTTTATGCTGAACATTACGTTTGTGTTGGGCCATCTTTGCAAGTTATTCTGACTCTCCTTTACAGATACAGATGGACGGACGGACGATTCGAGTGCACAAGTGCGTCTATAACCTCAGCTGGAAAGCGGTTCAAGAAGAGACGAATCACAACAGAGCAGGTGTCTTACCTCTGTGCTGGATTTCTTCTCATTGAACCCACCTGAAAAGAGAAAAGAACAAAAACACCATGAGAAACGCGTGCTTGAATGTCCCGTGAACACCGACGATGGCCAAGGGAAACTGCAGAAGCCAACTGGAAAAATAAACAGGGTGGCCTGCTTCTCATGCAAGGGTACATTGGTGTGAAAATAAGACGAGTTCGAATTTGGCAATTGTGGGATCATGACGCTGAAGCACAATGGCCTACGCGGTCTTGAGGCTTCACACTTGGGCGTGATGACGGTGCCGTTTCAATTTCCTCTGGAACCCCTTGTCCCCCCCCTTCGAGGTCAGGGGGGACTTCCGAAAGACTTACAAATCCCCACTAAAAACGCTTCTGTTTAAAATGGCTCTCTCTCTCTCGTTATTTCCAAACGTCTTTCTCGCTCCTTCTTTACTTGGGCGATGTTCAACTATTTTCTGCCTTTCCACGCATAGTGCCCTGAGAACGATTGCTTAACGGCGCTTATAATTAGAAATTAGATTATTATTACTTTTGTTTTGCACGACATCAGAGGGGGGGGGGGGGGGGGGTAGGGAATCTTTAACGTCCCACTTTTAAAGCAGATGGAGCGTAATTATAGTTAATGCCCCCAGAGTATTAAACCAGGGGCAATTTGCCTGGAATCAATCCGCCAACGTGCGTGAACAAGTTGAGCATCCTGTCCGCTGGGCATGTCACCAGCCTAATATCAAGAGAGAATATTAAAAAAAAAAAACTCATTGCCACTCGCAGCAATTAAAACATGCATTTATTTTATTATCCGAGAGCAGGGGTGCCAAGGGGTGAACACAGGGACACACCGCTCGCAGTGGTGCGCCTGCAAGCTATTTGCGTCCAGTTTGTCGTCCTTAGCCCGCACCTCCGAATGATTAGCAGCGGCTGGCTACGTACGGGTGCGAAAGCAGTTCAACGTACACAGATCTATACGGCTCCCGGACCCCCACCTCCCTGCTCAAATGTGGCATTCACTTTGAGGCGGATGCATCGAGCAGAAGAAGTGCCTCTTTATTTATTTATTTATTAACGAGAGATCATAATTGCGGAAGGGCAATCTGCAGGATGCACTTTTAAAATGGCAACAAATTAAATTGTCCGCGGCGGCGTACAAAAACATCCGCGGCGCCGTCACCACATGCCGCTTGTGCAGGAGTGTGCTAGTTACACACACGGTTGGGCGCTAATCACAATGAGTCCTTGCAGAGCGAGGCTGCTAATCTCAAAACGTTCGCCCCTCTCAGACGAGGTCGGGTCCAAATCTATTAGGATTGGGGCTTATCTCTACTGTATTAATACCCGTAGGCCAAAAAAATCACTCGGGATGGCACTCAATATCGTTGCATTTCGGAAGCCAACCAGAGCCGAGCGTGGAACAGTGCTTCTTGGATGGGCGAGCACCGCGCCGAACAGACGTCAGATGCTGTTGCGGGGGGGGGGGGGGGGGGGGGGGGCTACGCGGAGGGCAGCGGAGGGGCAGCGCAACAAAATACGTCACTGTACTTTATTATCGCGCGCGCCTCCGATTCGCACGGCTGGCCACGTACGGTGCGAAAGAAGTTCAACACACGTGCAAAGGCAAAGACGCGCACACTTGCACGCTCTCCCAAGTCCACGATTTTCGCCTTCACCGATGCCCACTGGCCGAGATGGTGAAGCACGGTCAAGTAAACACCCCGTGACCCAGAATGGCATGCCGAGGCCTCATCCGGCGATGGATTGACAGATTGGCCGTCAGATGCACGCAAGGTGTTCAACCACCACGCTTGCAGGTCAACTCACTTCTCTTTCTGCTTATTTCCTCGCACTGCTCCACTTTGCCATCGCCTTTCCCCCACCCCCCCCCCCAAGCTCTTACTATAATAATAACCTTGCTGTAGAAAAGAAATGCCGCCAACTCTTATTTATCACAATTTTTGAGTGTGTTATTTTGCTGGTGGCCGCTTGAGGTTTTGGACCTTTTGAGCCTGTGCTCAGCGCCTGTGTTTAAAAAACAAATGTACACATACTACAACAACAATACCAACGACGACAAGAGATACTTTCACTTGTCAATGCATTATTGCCAAGCCGTTGTGTTGTTTAAGCATGCCACAGCAACAAGTCTGCAAAACAGCTTCCTCTCAATGCAGTCCCTCAAGAGATTCTGACCAATGAATGGCCCTCCTATCTTTCTAACCCAACTATATACAACTATCAACTACACAACAATCGTCTGCCTCAATTAACCTCCCTTAACACACTCTCCCCCCGCTCCCACTGCGTACAGCAGAGACACTGCGGAAACGTGGCGTGACCGTCCGTACTAATGCGAGCGTGCTGTCATGCTTAGCAGGAAGAAGACATGGTCCGAGATGACCTTCAGTCAATTGCTACGGACAGTCGTGATTTTGAGAGTGCAGGGTAGCGCAGTGGGGTAAACACTTGCGCGTCGCATCAAGGAGGGTCTGGGTTCAAGTCACAAATCTGGCGCCTTTCTGCACGGGATTTGTATTGTCTCCCGTTCTGCATGGATTTTCTCCCGGTTCTCTGGCTTCCTCGCATAGCTTAATAAAAATGGATACTGTGCCTGGTGTTGGCCAAACATCCCAAAGCTGAAAAATAACCTCGACTGGGACTAAAGAAATAGCAACATCGCCACCTATGGTGAAAACCCTAAGAAACCTTTGGAATATATTTAAAAACAACTTTTTTTAAAAACACACTTTCATGAGATGTACTAAAAAGATAAATGGTAATGGCAGAACTCTACGTCTCCAGGAAGTGAACCCGAAGCTTGCCACAACGTAAGGGGACCGTGGGCAATCACAGCCAACGTCAGTTGACCGTGGACAATTAGACCCAAGCCGAAACATAACATATAAAAAAGAATGTTTACATTTTTTTTATGATAGAATATAGTATTGTGATCAATATGACATAAGTATACCAAGTTTGCAGTCGATACCACATTGGGAAGTGGGTTACAATTGAGTTACAAGATTTGAGGATACAACGACAACAACAACGACAAAGTGAGTTAAATATAAAAGCGTGTAAAACAAAAGAGTCTTCACGGACTCCGTTAGACCTGCCCGAGTAAACAGGTGCAATAGAATAAGCCACACTTGTTTTTGTACTTTAGCGCAAAAGTTTTGGGGGTGCATCTTAAAACACCGCATTCGCGCAACTTTTTTGACACCGAGCACAAGTTATGAGTGCGTCTTACTTTCAGGAGCCTCTCATAATCTGGAGAATGCGGTAATTTAAATAATCACGGGGTACAGAGCTTTTTCCCTGCATTCCATGCTTACATACAGCAATGTGGCTACAGCATTCGGAAACACAATCTTGAACTTCGAAACTAACGAGATTAAAATGCCATCGACGTCTTATTATGCGGGCACGTACAAAAATATCACGACAATTCTGGCCTCTTCTTCATCCAGGAAAGCATCAAGACTTCTTTATTGGGAGGGATCCTGCATTGGGATGTTTGGCGTGGATGAGGCAACCAGAAGCAAACACACGCAGGAAACTGTAAATACTCAAAGGCAAATTCACCAACCCGCAACTGAATCACTGCGGTGAGGTATGGTCAAATAACCCTGAAGTGCCGCGGTGGTGAGATGTTTTCTACCTCGCCTGGTATGCAGGAGGTCGTGGGTTCGATCCCGAACTCTGATGCCTGCTGTATATTTGGAGTTTGCATGTCTCTCTCTCTCTCTCCCTCCGTGGTCACGTGGATTTTTTTTCTCCGGGTCCTCGGGTTTTTCCCTCCAAATTTATAAACGTCCATTGAGATTATTTTGGCTGCTATTATTGTCCAAATGATGGGCCACTTTTTGAGAAATCATATGTGGCCAGGTCGCCTCTGAACAATAAGTTAATAACTCCGTGGGCTTTGCCTGGTAGGATGGGTATGGTTCAGTTTCATTTGTGTGTGTTTGGGTGATTTGTTTACTTGTCTTGTACTTTGCACTCCTGTGATGTTTACGTACCGTTTGTTGTTGTAGCAACGCTCTAACCCACCTCTACTGGACATCTGTGAAACAGAGCTTTATAGCTCATCGTATTCCTCCAGTATATATAAATATTCCGATTCTGATGTGGAGACACTCTCCATGCTCAAGATCCTCATCTTCTCTCCTGGCCCGACTGATTCTCTTTTATTTTGATTTAAAGCTTTCGTGACTGCAGGGATTCATATTCTTGGTTATTTCGGTAAAGTCACATAGAAGGGAAACAATAAAATATAAAACAATAAAATTATCACGACGTTTCGACTGCAACACAAGCAATCATCATCAGGTGTGAAAACCACAGCAAAAAAAAATCTTGCTGTGGTTTTCACACCTGATGATGATTGCTTGTGTTGCAGTCGAAACGCCGTGAGAATTGTTTTATATTTTTATTATTTTGTTTCCCTTCTACGTGACTTTACCGAAAGAACCAAGAATATGATTCTCTTTTCTCTAGACTATATCCACACTCCTGTATTTATTGCACTGATGCGCACATCACACCGCTTGCCGCTGTACGGCGTCTCGAGATTCACAAACTGTGGAGATGCCTTCATCTAGCAGTGGACCAATCATCGTCATCATCATTAGCGGCCACGATCGATCCTCTGATGGACGAAGGCTTCACTCCCCAGCCCGCCACCATCTAGCACGGTCCTGCAATGTAATCCTTGTCGCGCCTGCACACGAGTTGATATCACCGTTCCATCTGCTCCGGCGGGTCACCCTTTCGGGACGCGATCCATTCCTGATCTGCCACTCCGTTATTATTCTTGACCGTCGGCCGTAATCCCCTTCTAGCGACGTGTCCCTGCCCAAGCCCCACATCATTTGTCTTTGTACAGTCGTTTGAACGTTCGCAGTTGTTTTCATTAATGGTCATGTCATCGCGGGTAGTACACTGGTAAAAGAGAAACCACTGCTAGGGTATCTCCCACCCCTTCTGAGTTGGGAACAGACCTAACAAACATGATCATGATACACAACTGTTTTTCAAGGTTC